ACCCATTTACCTTACCTGAATCCTGAGCATTTTTCAAGGCAGGTGCTTCAGACCAAGTAGATATCTAATACTACTTATCATTCACAAGTTGTTGAGGAAATTGCTACTGACAGTGGGATACCCACAGACTTACCCTCTTTTTAAACCTTTTTAAACCTGGGCTGTTACAGTTTTCAGTTTACAGTTTTTGAGCAGTTACAGTTTTCAGAATCAGAAACAGATGTGTGACTTCCTCTCTCTGATCTTCCTGTTTCTAGCGTAGGTCCAACAACTAGGCAGTTGCTCATATGTCATGCACTTGAGAGAAACAATGAAGTACTCTTTCTTGTTACATTTTGCTTAAATATTTCCAAAGAAGTGAGTCACACCATTTTTCAGGAAATAAGATATCATGATTTGTTAATAGAAGCTAACTTTTGCTGCTTGTTCTCTCTTCTGTTGATCTGTACTTGAACCCTCTTCTTTACACTATCATACTATTTGAATGCACTGCCTTCTGAAAAGAAGATACATTGCCATCAAGTTAAATAGTCATTAAATAAAACATTAGTTTACATTGTGAATGTCATCTTAAAGACTTATTGCTGCTGATAAACCTGAGCTGTATAAATCTGTCTCCATCCAAATAGTAGCAGCAGAGGTGATGAATTCTGCTTAAACCAAAGAGAGTTCAGGATTGAAATTTAAACCACACTTTGAGTACATACTTTGTTTTAAGTGAAAATATCTTACTGTATCTCTAGCAATAAAGAAAATATACTCAAATGGAAACAGCATAATCTAACATAACTTTAGATCTTTTTAATCATGGAAAGACGAATAAAAGAATGGGCAGTGGTAGCATCCAAAGAAGGGAAAGGAGGTGTGGTTTCTTCATTTGTCTCCTCCCACTGATATTGTTTTCTCTAACCTAGATTGTGCAATCTCTGGGAAGGGACTACTATAGTTTCAGGCAGTACCTTTATCCCTGAAATGTTCAGGAAAAAAAAAATGAAGATTAGTAACAATTTTAAGCAGAAACTAAGCTTAGATGCTTAAGGAAACTCCTTTGGTAAAAGACTACATGGGTAATGTGAATCTCAATCCCTGGATTTCCCCTGCTTTATTTACTATGATAATGGCCACAGAGAAAGCTACCTTCCTAGGCATACAAGTAGATTGCCTGAAATTTGGTGGTAATCTCTTCAAGACTAATAAAAAATTCAAGTCTGATTTGGGATGGGCTTCCTTCATGAAGTGAAAAAGGAAGCCTTTCTTTCTTTCTAAAAAAATAAAATAAGAACACAGCCAAGCAAAATAAAAACACAAACAGACATTTCTGAAAAGATGGCATATATTTAGACATTTTCTTAACAAGTGCTGGTGAAGACCCAAATGACTATGGCCCATATGCACACTAACCAGAAGGAAAAGGCAGGTTAGAGGTCATGAAAACAAAATGTAAACCAGGATGTTAGAAGTGAGGACTTACATGGTTAAATTCTTTGAAATGATCCTGATATCGTACACTGTGCC